AATAATAACAAAAAAAAATCATAAAAGTAAATAAAAAATGAAACACTAAAAATTGGATATATACGCCGCCCGAGCGCAAAGAAATACATAAATCCTTCCGAGTCCGAAATATTCTAATATATTTTATAATAATACTATGTGCGCAATTCACGATTTGTCCAGGTCTTCTCTATCTATTGTGAATTGTAATTATTGCGCAATTATGCCAAAATATACTTTTAAAATAACTGTGAAAATAGTGCAGATCTTTTTCCAAATAAATACCAAAAATAAAAATACTATATTGCTGCATAGACTAAGTTCGTTTATCCGGTTTATCTTGACCGTTTTCGATTTGTGAGAAAAGGACGAATTAGAATTTGCATTTAACTATGTGGAACATTGCGACAATTATGTTCCACATAGTTTGTGATGATATTCCATATAATTTGTGTAATTCAAGAGATAAAATAGTAATAAAACTTTTATTCAGCGAAGTTAAAGAAAAGCTGAAAAATACAAAGTCAATATTTATTGGCCAATATTAGCACGTACTTTAACTTGGCAATTGATTAACTGAATGTTTAAGGGTTGCTATCAGTTGTTTTCACCATTCTATGTCTTATTTAGAATTTTATCTAGCAGGTACTCTAGACTTATAAATAGATGCAAGTAGCTATTTAAGATAAGGGACCTAGTTACGCTACGCCACAAAGTAATACAAATAATATAAATTGTAATCTCTAAGCAGGCTAGAATTACAGTGCATATGTTATTTTTATGATTATTTTGTCTTATTTAGAATTTTAGCAAACAGCTACTCTAGACTACTGTATAGATGCGAGTATCTATTTAGGGTAGGTAACCTAGGTATACTACTCTATAAAGTAATACAAATAAAGTAAACTTTAACTTTTGAATAGTCTAGAATTGTATCTAGAATTGTATCTAGAATCGCAACACTGTGTAGATAATCAATAATAAACTCTACATTATTATAAACTTGGAATCTTTCAGTCATATACATTTAGTTTATTACTTACTATTTCTTGTAGCTCTGAGATATGGTGGATCGTAGCAATCCGAGTCCAATTAAATCGTCGCAGCATGGCTATTCGAATAGGATTAAGAGTTACGTCGGTTGTTTCAGTCGTAAAGAAATAAGGATAGATATCTCTGTTAATTAGAGCAGCAGAGCTCACTCCGCTGGTTACCTAGCATGAATTAATAGGTTTTCAGTAAATGACTTGCGTTTATTTCGTTATTTTCTCTAAAATTGATTATTATCTGTTTTCTTTCATGACATATGCATATTAGGGTAGAATATCTCTATCTTTAATATCTTATTTAGACTAGATAAGAATTACAAGACTCTTATGTATTTTTTATATCGTACATTTAATGTTTGTAGATGGAGAGAAGAATAAACAGCAATAATGTGATAAGATAATTTGGAGCAATTCTAGACAGTCTTAATAACAATTATCATGATTCTACACTTAATACAGTCTAAGTATATTATTATCTTTACCGTGACTAGATTCCAATATTTAGTCAATGAAGCTACCGGTCTAGAGCCAACCGTAGTCAGTGGTCCAAAAGTAGCAATTTTAATGGGCGGATTATTGATAGCATCTATGAAACTTTTAGTTGTAACCCAAGATTTATACTAGAAGCAAGAAGTAATACAAATTAGTTTATAGAATATAGGCGTTATACCATTAGAGATTTCATATAGAGTAATATAACATTAGTCCGATAGGAATTATAACTTATCAAGTAACGATATATTTGATACGGATCATTATTTCTACCGTAATCTCACATCATTTCGATTTTTATAGTCATCTAATGTTTACGCGTATACAAGTAATACTTAGAAATTTTATGCAAGAAAAGTTATAAGTACACACCCAGTTATTATATTTTCATTAGTTACTATTTATCGCTACTGGTAGTTAGTTATTAACAATTGCTTCCATGGTATAACATATATAAAAATATTTATTCTTATTTGGATTGAGTTATTGATCAATCGATTTTAAATTAACGCATCAACTTAACAAGAAAGCTTTTTTTTATTTCGTTTGAGCGAAATTGAAAGCTTGTCTAGCGATACAACATTCCATCTCACTGTGATAAGATAAGAAAACTGTTAAGAAAACTAAGAGAGAAAAAGATCGCAAATGTAACTCTCATTGATCGTCAAGTATTCTAATGAATATTGTACCTTGCGGACTTTAATAATGAGAAATGTACTAATAAAATATTTTATTGATACTGGTATGTAACTAAAAATTTGTTACTTGTGTAAAATATCGAGAAACTGAACGTGAACCATCTAGACATTCATAATTAGAACCGTAGTTCAATATTTTATACAAAGAAATAACACAGCCATAATAGAAAGTGTACACTTTTGTATACTCGTACTAATTTATTTTATTCGTAAAATGTCCTATTTTAATCTCACTGCCATAAATTGCGATACTTACTCTAACTAAAGTATAGCAGTGCCCGTTATTTTACTCGTAAAATGTACTATTCTGATTTCATAGCCATAAATTAGATACTTACTCTCAACGAAGTAAAACAGTAACAGTAACTTAATACTATGATTAAGGAATTCCTGCAGGATTGATAACTAGTCATTTTATAAAAAACTTATATTTTAGTATCATACCTAAATTAATGTCAGGTAATGTGAAAAATTTGTTTCAGCCGTTTAATTGATATCAAGAAACATCCTAAATACATATTAAAAGTATTTTTAGAAGCGAAATNNTTGTTTCCNTTTATTATAATCGAATAAAACGTAATAGACAATCTGAATAT